ACACACAGACTATTTTCATCCAAACATAGGAACAGAACAAATATAATGAAAGATAACGTTGAAAGCTTATGAAGGATAGGCCTGAAGGAACAGAAAATGTTTAAGATAGAAGGGGCCTAGAAGCAGTTCTTATTACATCCCACAAGTCAAGCCAAGAAAGAGGGAATTTACATTTCGAGAAACGAACCGATGCATATTATATGAAAACAATTACCTAAGAGGAAAAACACCAAACATCATAAAATTAGTACTTTAGTCTTATTTTGTTGCACAGTTTTATGGTACTTGCAGCACGATAAGGCCATATAAGAGCCAAAGCAAAAAGTTCGCTAAGAGCGAGGAAACAGAAATTAATATTATGTGGTGACCTAAAAGTGTACTAGTCTGGCGCTTGCCGTAAAAGTTGTTGTTGTTGTTGTTGTTGTTGTTGTTGTTGTTGTTGTTGTTGTTGTTGTTGTTGTTGTTGTTTGTTTTTTGTAAGAGTTTTACGGCGCTCGCAACTGCATAAGGTCATATGAGCGTGCGGGACACGTTAAACATTTTCAGTTGGTAAGACATTTTGAATTTGGCCCGGGTGGCGGCCAAAGCCAGGTCTTATGGATATAGACCACCAAGGGATCTTTAAGGTGCGCAACGTGCATACGGGACCTCCGTGATTTTTCGCCCTTGTCCGAGAAGGCTTGGTGTAGATCTCCAGAAGATCAGGGGTGTGGTTGAAAAACAGCTGTAAGAAGGAGCCAAGGAGTAGCAGTAGAAAGGCTGCAGAAGGAGTCAGGAGTCCAGAGGAAGGGGCAAAAGAGGTGAGGGGGTGGGGGCAGAAAGTGGAAACGAAAGCAGACGACAGAATATTGCAAGAGAGCAGGAAAGGAGGTGAAAGGAGACAATTTTAGAGAAGAAAAATGTTTCAGTCGCTACCCAGATTCGAACCCAGGACCTTTGAATGAGAGGTCAACACCTTAACCTCTAGGCCACGAAAGCCCCCCTATACAAGTTTCAAACAGGACTGAATCTATACAATAGTAAATGATACTTGTTCTCAGGCTTGACTGAAACTATCTCTTTGGCACAAAATACATTGTCAAGGCACGGCCCCAAATTTGGTTCAGTCTGATTCGTGAAAAGAAGGTGGCATATTAGAGGAAAGACTTCAGAGCGCTTTAAATTATTTTATGTAGAACAATATAACAGATATAAACGGGGCTAGCTGTTCCTCTGGGATAATAAAGTATTATCTTATTATATCTTGTTATGTTGGCTCTTTGTTTGTTTGTTAGTTAGTTTGTTGTTGTTGTTGTTTTATTTTACGAATTCATTACTATACTTCAAATGTATTACAATGTAAGCGAGGCTTTTTTACGCTCCCATCGCAATTTAGACAGTTTAGGAGACGTGCTTCCGACTCTGCTTATCAGGGCCAACCCGGGCTGAGAGGGATACAGCACCCCAGCAGAAAGACCGAGATACACGATAAAGAAATGTCTCCCCACACGGGAATCGAACTCGGGAATCGACCTCGGGTCTCCTGCGTGCAACAGCGAAGCGGCTAACCGCTACACCACAGGTATCGGTGTGTGTTATGTTTATAGACGGTGGTTTCTATTGACCTACCTAAACTTACTTTATACTTTAAAGGGGTTTGGGGGCAGAGCATGAGGGAAAATGTCATTTATCAGATCAGAACTCTATAAATTTAATAATTTAATGTATAGGTTAACGCTTAAGGTAAAAAAATCAGGCATGTCTGAATCTGAAGACTCTATGTACAAATAAAAATGTTATTCTGTGCACGTATTGCGTAAAGTATAACGTCTGGGACAATTAATTATGTTTAACCCTTTTGCGACCACACATAAACTGTTGGCTCTTGTCCAGTTACAAAGAACATATATTTACAATTCTGAGAAGATGACATGGCTGGGACAGAATGGAAAGTATGATACAATTATATCTAAAAATATCTTTAAACTTTCGTCATTTGAATCTTTAACCGCCTCTTCCCCATAAAAAAAACTGAAAAGAAAAGAATGAAATCGAATAAAAATATTTTAACACGCCCCCTCCCAACCCCCATCCCCACTCCTCCCCCCAAAAATAAATGAAATAAAATAAATTTAAAAAAAGTAAAACTAGAAATTGTTACGAAAAATAATAATTCAGTTTTGAAGAATGAGAGCCGTTAAAAGAAAAGACCAAGTTCTGACAAGGGTTAAAAGTGCAAAGACGCACGTCTCAACCGTCTGGGTCTGGGACTGGGTCTGGGTCTGGGCCAACTGGCAAAGCCCAGGTTCAGGCAGGCGTGGGCCATCTGAATCACGCTGGTGAACAGGAGGCGGGGGTGTACCAACAGCTCCTCGATCATCTGAAACATTACAGATGGCAAACCGTCGATATAAACAGCAAAACCCTTAATATAAACAGAAACCGTCGATATAAACACTAAACCGTCGATATAAACACTAAACCGTCGATATAAACAGCAAACTGTCGATATAAACAGCAAAACTGTCGATATAAACAGCAAAACCGTCGATATAAACAGCAAACCGTCGATATAAACAGCAAAACCGTCGATATAAACAGCAAATCGTCGATATAAACAGCAAAACCGTCGATATAAACAGCAAACCGTCGATATAAACAGCAAAACCGTCGATATAAACAGCAAAACCGTCGATACAAACAGCAAAACCGTCGATATAAACATCAAACCGTCGATAAAAGAAACAGCAAATCGTAAA